GATGCATTAAGCATACTTGATTTAGATTTTATGTTTGGGACACTATTTGACATGAAGCCATAGTCTGGATCAAACATTTGATTAGACTAGCTATTCTCAATATCCAATCGCTTATTCATAGACAATGTTTGTAAGATAGAAGTGTAAGAGAAGGCTTCTTACCTTTTTTGAGGTGGTGTGTAAGCCCAATAAATTATATATAGATTTCATAAATAGAAAATATGGTTAAAAATTAATTATAACAAGAATATGAAATAAATTTCAAAATTCAAAATTCACAACTATATGAATTAAATTTTAACTCCAAACTCATATTAACATTACACATAAAATCAGATAAAATAAGTCATTCAAATGAAATAAAATGAGAGGCAAGTCATTGGGGGCGTCAGTGAAAATGAGCGATAATTGGAGGATGTAAATGAAGATCATAAGAGAATTTCAGGCAAATTTTTCAAAGATTTGAAATATGGATGATCAGGCTAAGGGCTTCGATGTTTTCATAGCTTTTGAGGAGAGAGATTCGGTTAATAGGGCCTTAATATTGATAATTTTTTCACTCAAATATTTAGGAAGATGTATTTATAACTAGCTACAATAGTAATTTAATAATTTGATCTATGTTATATTATGAGGCCATTGCCTCACTATTGAGGTGTAAAAGGCATCCCCCTAGGGCCCTAGGCGCCCAGGGCAGTACCTTGTCTTGTAGGGCGTATGGCTGGTAGGTTTAATGCCTTCCTGAATTATCATCGGACAATTTTACCCTGGTCAAAAGCAAGTCCCAAGTGAGCCCAAAATATTCCTTTTAAAACAATTCATCTTATGTGATTAAACCATATGATAGAGGGTTATGTCAAATCTGTGGGTAATCTTGTGAGGCTAGCCTGAAATAGCTTTAGTTTGTATTCAGTTGATGAGCTTGCTTGTATGGATGCTAGTTTGGGTTGCTATTTGATTAATGGGCTTGGAAGCTGGCCCATGTTTCATTGTTAAACTTGCTGTCATGAAAGTTGGTTCAGAGTACTATCTTTTGAAGACGGTGTGGTGGAAAAATACACTTTGGTAGTTTGGTGTGCCGAGGAAAAACAGGAGGAGGATAAGGGTGAATTTTTGGACTTTAAAGTAAATAGATATTTTAGAATGGTTAAGTATCATTGACCATGGTATTATTTGATGTGTTAATCAACATTTATGTAATATTAGACCGTACTATATTGGCAGAATTTTGTAATATTTAACTTGCGTGCCTTACTCTAAACTTTAAATTAGATAACCACCTAGACTCCTTGACCATAAGGGGCTTATACGCAACTCAATGCGGATTTTGTAGCAAAGGGGAGAGTCGGCCTATAGGGCTACTCTCTTGGATTCTCACATTCGCCATTGGTGTGAGAACACTAAGACTCACCATATGTAGAAGATTTTTCCACAAAGGGGAGCGTCGGCTTGCAGTGACTAGGTGATTTGATATAGATGATTGGTGGCGAGTTGTTTTGCTAAAAGCTACCTGTGGTGAATGAGCAAGTGGTGAATGAGCAAGTTAGATGCCTTTGATTTGATGATGATTTCATTTTTTTTGGTGTGGTGGAGTAAAATTTTTGTCTCCTTTTTTTATTCTTTCTACTTGGCTAACTTTTTCAAAGAAAATTTTAAGAGTTTAAACGAGACTCACCATGGGTACTTAGCAGGTAATAAGAAGCGGACCTCACTTAGGTGGCTAGTTTCCTTTGCTCGGGGGCTTTAGATTGCCTGTAACTCTTATGCTTATGGTTCTCGACTCTCCTATAGGGAGTAATTCAACTTGTTTTTTAGCTCAAACCTGGGTAAGAGCTCGATTGGTCCTTACTACAGTCGGTCTCACTTGATTATTGCGAAGTCATTTATCTAGGGCTTGACGGGTTCTTGCCCTTGAGTTTACTAGGAACTCACCCATAGTTGGAGAAAAGTCACTCTTGTGCTTTGCTCTGGTGGCGTGAGCTCTTCAAGTGTTAGGGACATTATTTTGCATGGGTGAGTCATTTCATTTTCTTTATCAAGGTAGTGCGAGTTTTTCGAGCATTATTTTTTGAAAGGCAAGTTCTCCAAATGTTTTTAAGGAAATTTTGTTATGTAATAAACTCACCTGCCGAGAAGGACTTGCTCATGCAAGAAAGCATAAGAAAATAGAAATGAGAGTGATTTTATTGTGTCTATAAGATAAGAGAGTACAAATGCAAATAGAGATGCATGTGTAGTTATGAAAGGTTCATCTAATGTGTAGCAAATCTTGAGGTCGTCAGCACTCCATGTCCTTGAAACTTCACTCCTAGAGTAAGTCTGCAGTTGATAGGAGACTAGGCTGACTAGCTCTTTGACGATGTATGGGCCTTTCTACATACTCATCAGTTTGTTGAGTTTGCGGGCAATAGTGCCCGCCTTCTTCAGAACTAGGTCATTGTGTTGGAAGACCTTTTATCTAACATCTGAGCCATAGTTGATGTAGAATGGAGGGGGTCGGCCAAAAGAGGGGAAAAATGGAAGGCATCCACATACGTTGAATGTGTCCACATACGGTGAATGTGTCCTTAAGGAATTTCCAAACTTGAATTATTAAGATAAGGAAAGGGGAATTATGACAGGTCTTTAATTAAATTTGAATTGAGAGAATTAAGGGAAGCCTCCTAATATAATTCATCATATTTTAAGGAATTTCAAATTCAAATTAACTTAAATTTGAATTTAAAAACTTTCCAAACATAAGATGCATTGAATAAGGATTGCCTTCAATAATCAATTTGAAAAGTGGACGGGAAGAGGAAATAGGAAGGGGGTAGGGCTGGTGGCTAGCATGATTATGGGTGATTGATATGAGGGGTTAAAGGTGACTATATTTAGAATCTTAAATAGGAAAGTGGATTTAAATCAACTCCTGTTTAAAATTCAAAATTGCATGATTTGAGGGACTTTCCTAAAATAGTTTTCCTCATTTAGGAAGTAAAATTCAAATTCAAATTCAATTGAATATGAATTTAAATAGTTTTTAAAATTAAAGGGAGCTAATTTAGGAAAGGATTTGAATGCTAGATTTTGAATTGTAGAGCTAAGGGATGGATGATGGATGGCGGTTTGGGAAGGGGGTTGGGCCAGCGGTTGGGTGTCTTTTGGCTTAGGGTTTGGGTGGAGTTTTCAGCCAATACGAGAAAGAGAGATGGGGAAGTGGTGGTTAGGAAAATAAGAAGAATAATAAAAAAGAAGAAGACAAAATTGCGAGTCTTGGACTCTTCTGAAGATTGACGGGTGATACGTTGCCCTTCTCCAAGGGACTTCAAGTCACGAGTCCGGACCCATCCCGCGGCTGGTGAAAACTCTGATTCCTTCGCAGAGGAATCTCACTAACATCCCTCCCAAAAGAACACAAGTGCAGAACACAAATTTTTATTATAATTTCATTATGTCTAATATAAGAGAAGGGGCCTCTATATATAGGCCTAAAAAAAACTAAACGACAAATTTGTTCCTTGGGCTTACATAAGACAAGACTTTTAAATAAAAAAGGGTAAAAAAAGAAAATTACAAAATTAAATCAAAATACAATTAATAAATAAAACAGAGTGATCTCGGCCGTCGATCTTCAACTCTTCCTTTGAATATCATCCATCGTCGGATGTCCGCATCAATAGTATTTGGCCATTCTTCTTTTGACATCTTCCTGCACTTGAGGGATAGCTTGAGCTCTTAGCTCTTCCAAAAAGTCTAGAGCCATTTGCAGACTGTCCTGATTGGTTGCTTCCCTTTCGTTGGGCTCACTTATTCATGGTTAGCAACGATGAAAATTTTTTGGCTGTGAAGGTTGAGTTTGATAGGCACAATATTGCCTCGGCATCGTTGGGGAGTGAGCATGGTGTATGTCTAGTTGTAGATATCATATATTTGCATTTAGCCCATAAGACCTAGGCGAGTGCGTCTACCGAATTGCCTTTGGCGTTTCTAACTTTTTCTTCAAAAGTCTTAGGATTAGCTTATTGGCGACTTCAACTTGACTATTGGTCTATGGGTGGTGGATTGGTAAAATATGATTGGTAAAAACATGTGTGACTAAGTTGTAGATATCATATATTTGCATTTGATTTCTCTAAATCAGTAAATATCATGTTTTATAAAATATGATTAAAATTTTTGAAATTAAAACTAAAATTATTATTATTTTTTTAATTAAATAAACACTTAATAATTTTTTTTAGAAAATTATAATTACTTAAAAATTACATTTAATAAATATTTAATAAAAATGACTAAACTATCGTTACATTTAACATTATTAACTTCAACATTGGATGTTAGGGCAAAAAGGTCCCATAGTTGACTGGCCAAATTGATCCCTCAAAAGAGTTAGAGGATTATTTTGATCCCTTACAAAAAATTTAGGGGTTATTTTGATCATTTTCTTGTTAATATATGTAAGTGGTCCCACTTGTGACATATTCACTTAGGCCAAATTCAGGCAAAATAGCATTTTCCCCTTCCATCCCTCTGCCCAAAGCAATACTTTGCGGGGCCTAAGGTAAAAATATTTTCTTAGAATGTTTCGTATGACATTAAATAGGCCCTCAATAATTAAATGGGTGGACTTATATCGCCAAATTGATCCTGCCTGACCTATTTAATGTTTCTTGTTCTTCACCTTCTCTTTGCACTTATTTCTATTAACCTTCAAGTCAATTTCCTAGTTGACTAAGGAGTTGAACCTTGGACAAGCATGCAAAAATGGAAGGAATCTTTAAACTTCTTATGCTTCTTTTCCTTGATGCTTTTGGCTGCATTTATTGTGGTATAGAAATTACTTTTGTTTGCTCATAAAGCTAGCCACAAGCTTTTGTCCAAATCAATTAAGTATGTGCTGCTATCTTCTGTTGGTGTGAGATATATCATTTGCGAAAGATGAGACATAAGAGCTTTTAGATGAATATGCTGTGGTATCCCTGAGAAACTTATTATTATTTTATGAGTTCTCCTTGTAGCTCAAGGAGATTGGTGGAACTTATGAAGCTAGCAAGCGATCTGAACAGTCAACTGAAAAGAAGAAGGGATTTGGCGATTGGATGAATTTGATTAAGCCTCATCACTATGAAGAAAAAGATCATTGGGTAAGTCATACTGCTGATTGCTTCATTGATTTCTCATTTGTTGCACTTCTACTTCAATCCGGATGGTTTACACACTCAAAATATTTGGGGTTAATTATTTTCCTATTTTTCCAGGTTAGATATTAATTTTTTTTTTCTCTAAAGCTGCTTTTCTTGTGGCAGACCGTACATCATTAATAAAAATTATTAGACATCTTTCTGATCTAATTAAAATGCTATTGGTAGCTCTGCAGTTAAAAATACTGTTCCCTTAGCATACTGCTATATAGTTACTACTGCTTAAGAACATGAGAATTGATTTATACTTTTCATATTCAGCTTTAATTTAACCAAAACTTTGTACGACTTGTTGGTCAAGTTTATTTTCACAAAAACAAAAGCTCCAAGGCAGTTTTCTCAAACCTGAATAAAAACCCCAAAGAATCACTATGGTTTAATTGGGTGTCATAGTCCGATGCACCTTCAGTTATTTCTTCAATAATTTATAAAGATTTCAACTATTGCAGTATTTCGGTATTTATTGAACATTCTTATAACACCGCACAAATGATGTGATTCAAACTGAGGCAAAGTTTCAATCATGAATTGTACACATGTTGGAATGTCCATGTTCACTTTACATATTGGGAAAACATTTTATGTCCTTGTGGTAGCTACATCTTTTGGTAACATTGCAACTTGCAAGAGATGCCCTGCAAGAAGGAAAGAAATAATTCATTGAGTTCTAAAAAATTTTGCCAAATATATTGTTCTTGAAATAATTGCAAAAGAAAGTTACAGAAATGACAACAATTTAGTTGACATGTGTTACTTGTCCTTTGTATGTGCAAATTAATTTATCGGCAGGAAAATTCATAAGAGTAACTATATTATCACCCACATATGCCTAAGTTTTACCTTCTCTCTCGAAAGTTGGGAATGCCAACTCAGTAAATCTGCATTCAAGAATGATGTGCCGCTCAAACGTAGTATAAATGTGAATCATTCATTAAGTGATGAAAAATAGCTTTGTCTGAGGGTATTATTGCCCAGGCTGAGCAAAACTTTGTTTTGCTAAATGCTGAGCCAAAGCCCTAGAATCCAGGTTTTTCTATCTTTCAAAAATTTCTGAATAGAAGAGCCTTGAACTACTACAACATCAACAAAAACATCAATATTTTATCCCACTATATGGGGTCAGCTACATGATTCTTTTTTCTTCATTTTGTCTTGTTAAGACTCAAATTCTTATTTAAGTTTAATAAAAAATATCATTTTTAATATTTTCTAGCCAAGAATACTTCTACTCTCCTAACCGGGTCATCGGAAGTTTGACGTTTTATGTGTCCAAATCATCTAAGGCGACTCTCTCTAATCTTATTTGCCATTGGAGCTACTCCAACCTTTTCACGTATATACTCATTTGGCATTGTCTCTAAGAGTGAAACCACTCATCCACCAGAGCATCCTTATCTCTGCAACACTTAACTTTATGCTTCTTTTTTAACAACCAACATTCTACGCCATAAAGCATTGCAGGTCTTATCACCATTTTATGGAATTTTCCCTTGAACTAATTTTCTTAAATATTCATTACTCACTTCCAGCTCCTCCCTGCGGGAAGGTTGCACCTATTGGTCAACAACTGCAGGCTTCCATTGCCAAACAATCATCGGCCTCCTTTTGCCAATGGTTGCCACTCACCTAGCTGTGAGGCACAAGCCGCCATCTGCTGCCCTTGCCATTTTTTGTTATTTTTACTTTTTAAAAAGTTGACATAATTTTGCTAACTATGTTTAATTTTTTTACCACACTCCCAGCAATGTTTTTCACTTTTTTTATGGAGCATATTTCAATTTTACTAGCTCTGCTTAGTACTTTTTGGGAATAGCTTTAAACAGCAGTTTTCTCACAGTTTGCAGGCTGCAACATTAATAAAAACCTCATTTGTTGGCCATCAACCCCTAGCTTGAATCTGCCAACCGCCAAGAGGTGGGTTACTGATAGCTGATGAAAACCATTCTACACTAGATTCATGAATTACTTGCTAACAATCAATTGAATGGAAAAAAAAAAACACTTCAAATATGGTATATTAGATTTTTGTCTCTGGAATTCATCATATTGAATTATTGGCACTCTATTCTTTTACAAACCATACGCTCAAAAAGAAGTTTTACTATGCAGGATTGAAATTCCTCCCACACAATTCTGTAAGCCCTAAACTCCAAACAAATGGAACGACCACTTAGTGTCATGTATAATGCATTGGGGGTCTGCAAGTTTTATCTGAATATTTTATGCATCATAATATTTCTCTCATGTATAATGAATTTGATAATTAGGTTTAAGAAAATTAAATTTTGTAGAAAGAAGTTAAATACCCTATGCATCCACATTTTGAAGACAGCTAGAAGTAGTCTGACCACTTGAGTTTTATATTGTATTTTACATGTGTTTGCAAGATAAAAAAGTGAACTCAGTAAGATTTAGATATTACTTAATTAGAAAATACGGGCTACATAATTTAACATCATTCAAGTTTCATGATATGAAATGCCTCAAAGATATGAAGCCACTCGCAAAGAAAATAGTTCATTGTCAAACCAACATTATAAATGTTCTCAAATTTCTTCAGTAGTTGCACGTTTACACAATAAAAAATCATTATAATTTAAGATACAATTATCCTTTTTTGAAAGAATCAAACGCCAAACCTCTCTTTTGGAGGTAGGGACAATGCCACTAAGATATGCTCCAAGTGGTTTAATATACATTTGTGACATATGAATTACGAACCAAATCCAATCATTTATAAGTTTTTTCTCATGATAAATCATGAGAACTAGTTTATGGTTAACCGTTGGGAAGAAGCATCTGTAGATGAGGGTGCAGTGTACATATGACATATATTACTTAGAATCTATATTCTAAATCATATCAAACTATTGGACAGAAATAAGAAGCTGAAAAAATATTGAATGAAGTACCACTCCCGAATTTGAAAGTTGGAAATAAATGATCCAGCAGTTCTCTTAGGGTGGGATTTTTTTGTTTGGTTTTTCCATTATCTCTTTATTTCCTTCTCTTTCTCAACCTCTAATTTCCTTAATTTTCTTTGGCTTTTCCTCTTGTTTTTGCAACATGGAAACCTAGCATTGCTCTCTTTCTCTCTCTCTTTTTCTTTCTCTTGGGGAAAAGCTGGTGGAAAATTGTTACTGCTTCATGTACTTCATATGTATCCATCCATCCTTGGAATTCTCTTAGGTCCCGCAATACTTACATTTTTCTTTTGTTATAATTTTCCCTTCATCTTAGTCCACTCCCTCTCTGATGTGATACAACAGGAGTTACTTAAGAAATTAAAGAGAGCAAATTAACAAAATAATCCCAAAATTAAGTTATTACTTATAACAAGGATTGATCCTCGGAGTTCCTAGTCTTTAACTTGCTTAGGCAAAGAAGAGCGAAGTCGATTAATCAAACAATTCAAGAAAACGCAAAGAGTAATTTGTAAAGCTACGACGATAAACAAGAATCCACGATTTAATAATGAAAACTTTCACCTTTGGAGCATATACGCTCGAAAGTCTAGGCTTTAGCGGAAGAAGAGTCTCCACATTAGAATCGAGGTCACTCCGAGGAAGAAGGAACCTAGAATCGTCGTTCTTGGATAAGTGGCCGAAGTGGTGGAGGATGATCGTCGTCCAATGATGATCCAACGTCCCTTTGACCTTTGCTCGTCGATCACGTCCACTAAGGTGTAATGGATACGGTCGATGTATTCTTCAACGGTGTCGTCGAAATCAAAGCCCACGTCAAAAGAATGACGATTGGAGAATGTCGACTTGATTTCGATCGTCATGCACAAATCCAAAGTTCCATTTGGGTTCCGCCATGTATCCTCACCGGGAGTTGAGGGAGTACCAAAGAAGAAGAAGGGAGGGAGGAGGTGGCGGCTTGGAGTGGCAAGGTCCGGCCGGCGTGAGGTCTAGAGGGGGAGTCGGCTATGGTGGGGGCTAAGAGTCAAATGCAGGAAATCTGAAAAAAAATTCAGATTTTAGTGGTTTAGGAGAGGGATTTAATTTGAATTTCAAATTAATCCAAGGAGGGAGGGAGGGGAGGCAATGGGGAGAAGATTTGGGCTGAATTTGTGGTGCTATTAATGTAATTTGGAAGAGAGAGAAAGCCATTAAGGGGGCCGGCCATGTGGAGAGGGGAGCGGGGCTTAGGAGTTATGAGAGTTGGGACCACAAATTTAATTATAGATTTTACAAAAATCTGAAATAAAACTTCAGTTTTATTTAGGGGAGAAAGCTTCCTATTATGAAGACAATTAATTGAATCAATTCAAATTTCAAATTTGAAATTGATTTCAATTAAATTGATTGCATAAATTAGGGAGCTAAATTAGAAAACATTTAATGGCTCATGACAATTTGAAATTTCAAAATTGAAACTCCAAGGAAGGGGGTGGCCGGCGGCTAGAGGAAGGGGCAAGGGATGGGTCACGGCATGGGATGGCCGGCCAGCGGGAGGTGGTAGCCAAGTGGCCAGCGGCTTGGGAGTCTTAGGGCTAGGCAGCGGCAAGTGCAAGGGAGGAAGAGAGGGAATTTTCTAGGGATTCGAGCGGCTATGAATTCACTAACCTCAATTATCTTCAATCAGGATTTCCACACAATTAACTTGGGCGAACTCTAGAACTCACAAAGAGATCTAGTTTCTCTGTCGAACTCACTAAGAGATCTAGGAGGAGTGAACTCACAAAGAGAACAAAGAGCAATTTTTTTCATTCATCAAAAACTACTCCAAATACAATGATAAAGCCTATATATAGGCCAACCGAAAATAAAAGTCACAAAGACGATATTGCCCTTGGGCTACAATAAACACTAACTCCCTCATAGGGGTACAAATGGAAAAACATGAAATAGAAATTGCATGAATAAAATAAAACATAAAAAATAAAGACTATGAATCATGGCCGTCGCTCGACGACCCCTCCGATGGTAAGTGTGCCGAAATCTTCTATGGATGTCCTCATCACTCTCCCCTTCCTCTCCATTAAACTACGTAAAGTAATCATGTACCAACTCCTCCATGCTGCAAACATTTACAAAAATTATAGATTTAGATACCAAGTAAATTATTACTTGATTTAGCCCGTAAAAAACTATAAGTGCATCCTAATATTTTTTTAAATAGCAATATGAATTGGCAATACACTATATCCATTCCGCACGAAGACTGGCTTATCATATCCTTACAAACAATATCATTAAGAAAAAAAAAATTATAAAATTTTGTTTGCTTTCTCGTTATCTCACTTTTGAATTGATATCACACAAGGGTAATGTTTTTTTTTCATTTTTCCTTTACATTTCTCGTATTGTTGTCAACTTAGACCTTTGTACTCAATAGAATATTCAGCAAAAATTTTGCATCTAGCATTTTAAATGGCCATACTTGGGATTAATAGAAAATTTCAAGGTAATGATAAGATAGGAAAAATCACAATAATGGAATAATTAAATCAACAAAATGGTTTCTAGACTATTTAAATTTGTTCATCTTAGTCCTGGGCTTTTCTTAGCATTCAATTTAGTTTCTCACTTTCTCAAATCATTTTATCTTTTGTCTTTTTTTTTTTTTATCTCACCTATCTAGAATTGATTGTAGCTAGTTGTAGCAATCTTCAACTGCCGGTACTATCAATTCTTAGTTTTGGGTGTTATAGAGATGAGAGTGTTAAGATTACTGTGTAATAAAATTAGGAAGAATAATGAGTGAAGTAAATGTTTGGAGGAAAGAGTAGGAGCTTTTATTGAGGATATGCTTATAAATTGTTTGTTTATATGGTATAGAAATTTGCAAAAGAAACTAATAGCACTAATTAGGTGAGGAGCTATATGTTACAGGAGTAAAAAAGATAAGGGATTGCATAAAGCTGATACTTTGTCCATTTTCTGGAATGATTTTCTGTTAATTACGATTCGTGTAACTCGTCTTAATTTGAATGAATGGGGATTAAATATAATTGACCATAAATGGGATATGGCAGATAGTGGTCATGATGGGATTCTTGGATTTTATTTAGGTTCCGGACGAAGCTGCTGGCAAATGCATATCATGCGAAATACATTTTGGTGCTTTTGTAAGAAGGGTATGTCGGTAAACATTTCTTATATTTTGACTACATACTTTTCTTTTTTGAAATACTATGTTTAACATGAAGAGTGGAACTTTCGTTTTTCAGCATCATTGCAGGAATTGTGGTGATATTTTCTGTGATAAGTGCAGCCAAGGTAGAATACCTCTCACTGCTGATGAACAAGCTCAGCCAGTACGCGTTTGTAGCAAATGCATGGTGTGCCTTATACTCTGACTTTTAGCAGATTTTATTGTCATTTGTATTTCACTGTTTTGATATGCATTTGTGCTCGTCATACCTCATGTCACTGTTAGATACAGTTAATAACTCAGTTAGCATTTATATATAAATTGTTTACTTGTTTAATCTGGTCTATATTTCACTACACCTATGGGTTTTTATCTTTAGTCTTTGTGATTTTACCTATTCATGTTTGTGTCGTCTAGTAGAAAGATTTCCCTGTCAAAAGGACAATATAAGGGAGATGGAAATTGAACCTTGATTACTTGGTTAGGGCAAGTTTTAGAAGCTCTTCTTTGGTTATCTTTGATGTTCTAGGTGTAAATTCTTATAGATTGCTTGTATTCTAAGTTGCTATTTTTCCCCTTTGGTCTATAACCATCGGCATTGGTAGAACAGCTCAAACGTCCTTGCAGGTTTTATATTCATTGTACTTAGTTCTGTTAATTTTATTCAGGTAATATAATACTTGGTTGAGGGAAAGACTTGCGTTTGAGACTTTTTTAGTATTCACTATCACTGATTTTCTCACTCCAGCCATAAATGAATTGACTACCTGCTAAGAGAAAGACTAATATTGTTCAAGGTGAAACTGAAAGAATTCATACCACGACCAACTTATGTTTTGTAATCATAAAAACAAACGTGACAGTTCCTTCAAATTATTTTGTTTTAATTGCCTTGTGAAAATAAATCCATTAAAACTTGTTCTAGATTTTTCTTGGTAAAAAGTAGTTACGTTCAATATAGAGCTCTTCAGGTTGAGACACAATAATAATGCATACTATGGGCTTCGAAAATTCGCGCCCCAACCTCTTTGTGCCTTTTTTGTTGACGAGAGAGTTTTAACGAGCTGAAGGTTCCGGGATAAATTTTTAAAAGGCATATTAGATTTAAGATAAAATGCTATCAAGAGATTTCGTCCTGAATTCTCAAGGACTTTATTATCTGAGGTTTGGTTTCTATAGGGGCAAACTCCTAAAGTTAATTACCTCTCCCAATAACTAGAGATCAATTTCGATTAAGGTTAGTCGTTAGATAGACATTGAGTATCCAACATATAGTAGCAGCATCTTTAGGATTTTTAAATTAAATTTGAGGGTTTTTAAAATTTGAAATTTATCACCATACACGTAAAGCGAGTGATGGAAGAATGTTGACGAGCCCAATCAAGATCTCATAGTTTTATCGTCCCGAGCTGTCATGATCTCTAGTCTACTTAGTCAGAGGAAGTAATCAACCCAACCTGACTAAAGGATCCTTGTTGGAAGTCATGGGTTATATCCAAGGGTACCTTGTAGAGTCGGGGTAAATGTTTGCCTAATGGGATATATTTGAGTCCACCTTAGTTAACAAAGAGCTTTATACCCTATTGATTAATTACTTAAATATTTAGAGTCATTGGGGAACATACGAGCTCTGACCATAACCGTAACTTAGTAGTACTATTTGGCAGTAATGCCACCCGATAAAAGGGCCTTGGTTATAACCGTTTATCTGTTGTGTCATTTAACGACAAAACCACCCGTTAAAGGAGACATGTCATGTTATTACTGGCAAGAGATGGTTTGAAAATGAATTTTAGTGATATTCTCGACTGGATATTCACTCTTTGTAAGCTAAAGTGATTTTCAAATTTATTTGCCTTAGCTAATTTTTGTGAATGGTGAATGAATTTTTGTTTTACGTATGTAGGTGATTAATTTCATCTTAAATATTTTAATTTTTAGTGATTCTTGAGTTTTGAACTTTTATTAAAATTAGAGCTTCTTAATGATTAATTTTGAGATTTGGTGGAATTGAAAGGTTGATATTAACTTTCAACACGGCAATCATTAGGTTTGTTAGTAATTTACTTTCATTATTTGAGCCTTATTGACTCTATTTGCTTGTCAACAAAGGATATGTTCGGCTTCTAATTTTCAGGGATATCTGAATCGAGAATTTATGTTTGAATAAATGAATTTTCTTTGTAAAAGACCTTGAAGGTCTAATGTAAACCATATAAAATTGCACATTATATATGCAAATGCATTAAATCGACACAAATCAATGAATGTCGGTTCTAAGAGTTTATATTTTTAAACAATAAACCTTTCTTATAAGAGGTCTTGAAAGCCTAATGTGAACATATAAAACTAAATACTCCGACTAATTCAACGAGCATTAGTCTGGAGAATTTGCGTTTTAATGAGCGAATTTTTCTTATAAGAGGATTTGAAGGCCTAATGTGAACGTATAAAACAAATACTTCGGTCGACGCTATGATCTGTGTTTGTTTAGTGGTTCAAGTCGTGTCAACTCTGATCCATTTAAAAAGGATTCACTAACTCACACATTATTCTCGGATCTTATGTTTAAAAATTCAGCATAGCGGTAGGAGCGCATACAGGTAATTTTGTATTTAATGATATATATGCTTTTTTATATGTTTAATAATCCATTTGTCATTTTCGGTCCGCACAACATCCTCAGATGTCACATTTACGTGTTTATTGCACTCCTCTAGGCTCATGCGGATGAGTGCTTTTCAAGTATTTATGGGATGACCGATACATTTTGCATGATGGACATGATAGTCATATGTAGTTTTCATAATACATTTGTGTCAATTTAATGCATTTGCACATATAATGTGTTTGCATGCTGGTTTAATGCATTACTATGATGTATAATGTATTTGTATGTTGAAAGATGTGCATTCACATAATGCATTTTACACATTGCACGCATATGTATGTAACGTAATGAATGTATATGACATATATGCATGTTCACATACATATTCGGGTGTGTATTTGCATATTTGCACGCTTATATATGTATTTGCATGTTTTTATGCGTACATGTGTATTTGCATATGCATTTGTGCATTACTGACATTTTTGTATGTTGCGTGGTTCATGCATAATGTGTTTGCATGTTATATTTGGTACATGCACGATACATTTGTATGTTATTTGGTATGTGTATGACATCTTTACATAAAATTAGCAGGCATGCATGCATGATTCATTTGTATGTTGCATAGTATACTCGTGCAATGCAGTTACACGTTGTGCGATACATTGCATGAAACACGCACAAATCTCGATGCACTTGCACAATGAACTTGCGAATTTATAGGATTATTGATGTATTTGCAAGATGCGTTTGCATGATCAACAGTTTGCATATACACGCTGCTTAGTGTTCTCGTATAGTGCACTTGTGAGTTGCGAGTACATTTGCACTATATGATTAGGAGACGTGTAAGATGTTTCTTTTGATGAGTTGACATATCTCACACACTTCTCTGAGAGAGATTCGTGCCACTTGTGACATGCAACAATTTACAAGCGTTCAGGGGTGTACGACAATATACATGAATATGAGTCCCCTTACTTTTGGCAGCAACCATGCACATTATTTAGGGCAATTGCGTGCCTGTGACTTACAATATGATTGATGGTCTCATTTCATTAAAGAGTGTTTAAGCAAGATAATTATCGAAGATATGTGGAAGGAAACCTACGTGGCATCCATCAATGTAAATGCATTGTCTTAGGAGCATAAATAATTTTATATATTTTTATAATTACTATCCACATTTAGATTTATTTATGCTCGTATTTTACTTGGTTGCAAATACTTGGGCAATCCAATGCAAAGCCTTGAAACAAGATCTTCACACATTTTAAATATGAATTCTAAAAATGAATTTTTGATATTATTTCAGCATGTATGTTCATGCTCCTTCATAGTTGAATTGTTTGTTAGGTGGGCCCTATACATGGCTGCTTTTGGGGTTATAAATATGGAGCTTCTCCTTGGTTCATTCAACACATTTTAACTTGTGAAGAGAGTATTGCTGAGTTATTTGAGTTTATGCAAATCTCTTAAGGGCTAGGGGGCTTGCTCCGTTCTTGGAAAATAATCATTTTTTTAAAAATAAATTTATTGTCAGTTATATTTTAACTTATTCATTTTCTTAGTTTATGTCTTATAATTTTATTTTATTTATTTATTTTTTATAATTTTAGCTTTGAGTTTTAATCTCCCTAAATTTAGCCTAAGTCATTTATTTTGGTTTGAACTTTAGCAGCACTCTATTGTCATCCCTACATAGGGGATTGCTTTGGAGTGCTAAGCCTTCCCACAGTGCTAGGAAAGGCTCATGTATGGTCAGGGTCAGGTGATACCTTAGCTAAAGTCGCTAATCCTTGCTTGCTAAGAAAGTTAGTCATGGGTCTTCAGGTACCCGTGCATAAGCAACATTATTTTCCGGCCCGCCAAGAAAGACAGTCACGGGTATTTATAATCTCATGTGCAGCAATATTTCCCTCCTGTCAAGAAAGGATGTCACAAGTACTTATGGTTTTCATGCATTACAGTGTTTTCTCGCCTACCAAGTAAGAAAATCACGGGTACTTAGGTTTCATATGTTGCAATTCATAAAATTAAACTAGTGTCGGGTTGGGGTTATACCTCAAAGCGCGCGACAATGGAAGCAGTGACATCAATGGAGACAACACCTACAATGCACGAAGTAAATTTTTATAATTAATTTTTTTGTGTGGGGGTGGAAGCTAGAGAGGATATGGTAGAAATTCTCTTTCTAGAGAGAGAAAGAGGGATTTTCTTCTCTTTCTGGAGAGAGAAAGAGAAGGGTAGGGTGAGAGAGAGGCTAGGGTTTTGGTGGAAGTCATTTAGAGGGAGGGTGAAATCTCTTTTTTAAGAGGGAGAAAGATAGGAAAAGAGAGGTTTAATTCTCTTTCTAGAGAGAGAATTCTAGGAGAGGTGAGGGCGAATGATGCATGCAAATTTTTGTTTATTTTAGTTTTTTTTATTGTAATTTGAATGCTATAGTTTTTTTTATGCTATCCTATGATGGAAAACATCCAATGATCATGAGTAAGTAGTGCTTGTGCATGACAAACCTTGAGTGTGCTAGCTACTTGGTTTTTTTTTGGTCTTTAGGCTGCTGGATGCCTCTCGGGTTGGGCTTGGCTGCTTGGTTTTGAGCTGAGTTTTTTGGGAGTTGTTTGGTTCTAGCTCATTAATGCTTGAGCTGATGTTTTAGCTCATTAAAAAGAAAAGTTATTCCACTTGTTAGCTCATTATGTGGAGTGGAATCCTTGCCTTTTCCTTTCTCTGTATCTCTTCGGTTTTTCTTCTCCTGGTTCTCCTTCCTGTGGCCTGTTCCGGTCTCCCTGACTGCTGGTTCCGATTCCCTGTGCTGCCCCTTCGGTTCCTCCCCTGGTTGCCTGTCCCGTGGCTGCTTTTCTCGGTTTTCTGTGTGGCCTTTTCAGGTACTGTTCTGGAATGATTTCTGGCCTTCTAGTTCCCCTTACCTGATTGATTCGGTTGAAGGTTGAATGGTTGTTTGGCTGCCCCCTTTTCTCTTATAAATTGGAGATGTTTTGAGACAAAGAAGGTTGTTGAATATTTGAGCAAAGTCTCTACAACACCTGAGGGTTTCTTCTTCCTTGGAAAAGCTTGAGAGCTTGTTCCATTTTTCTCTTCCTTTTCTCTATTTCGTCTTGGGATTCAAACCTCTTGTTCTCTCCGCAAGTTCCACTCCACTTGTATCCTTCTTCTTGAGCTATTGGAGGTGTTTGTTGGCTGATTTGGTGACATTTGCCGGAGGAGTTTTGTTGGACGTTGAACCTTGTAGCTGTGGTGTACCCTTGGTTTGCAAGCCCTTAAGCACTTATTTTACTTTGCCTACTTTTTCGTTGCATGTGAGGAAACCGCTTGCCGGTTGTTCTGAGGGTAGTGTTTTTTAATTTTATTTGTTTCGTTTGTTTTGATGTTTGTTTGGATGTCAGCATTCTAGTTTGAATTGAGTTTTGTTCTATTTGTCCTGGTGTTATCCTCTTCTGGCTCTTTCTTTCTAGTTTGCCTACATCAGCGAAGGTGTGAGAGGCTTTATAAACAGGAAATGAGCTTTCTCTCTTTGATTTTAGAGAAAGAAAGTGGAATGTGATGGAGCTTTTTGATGGAGGTGTATGAGCTTATGGGGAATTTTTTTTTTGTGAAGGTAGCATGGCGATTTGCGGGAAGGAAAGGGAGATAGGAAATTTTTAGGGATAGGTTCGGGTAAGAAGATGAAGATGGAGAGGAGGTGGCAAGAAGAAAAAAAAGAAGAAGAAGAAGAAAAAAAAGAGGAACAAAAGAATATGATGAAGGAGAATAAGAAGGAAAAGAGGATGGAGAGGGAGAGAGGGGGTGGCGGCGGGAGTGGCTGGGGTCGTTGGGGTAGGGGTAGGGCATGCACGAGAGAGGGAGCCGAGAGGGAGATGGTGAGAAGGGGTTGTGTGAGTGTATCATCGTGAGGAGGGTGGTTGGTTATGTGGATTTAAGTGAGGGGATTTAGTATTTATATTATTTAGATTTAGGCAATTTTTTTAAAAAATTCCATCTCTCTTATTATTATTATTATTTTTTGTAATTATTTTAAATATAAATTGATATGCATTTTTTTAAATTAATCATGCCTCGATTTATCCGTCAGATTGCTTTCATTCGTGCACGTCAATGTCGCCTTGATCCACGAGTGCGAAATTTTGATTTTTGCCGATCAACGACCTTGACCAATATTATTGTCGATCATAGTTATTTCATTTTCCCTGAACGCATCAGCTTTGTCTGTTTAGCTAACAGAGGCTTTTTCAGTGATTTGAGATTTTGGTCAACGCACGTCGGGAAAGTTTCATGTCAAATCACAATCTTTCGCTTTCGGAATTTATCGCGCTGGTCGACTCGACCCTGAACTAATATTGAGGTCAACACCTATTTTGTTGTTTGTTGCCTTTGTTACTAGGGATAAGAAATATCTTTGCTTCTCTATGTTTATTTGAACTTGATATATATATATATATATATATATATATATATATATATATATATATATATAGTAGTCATGAGTGTCTTACTTTGGTTGAGCACCATTAAAGTGCCATTCTAAAACTGAATGATTATATTATTTTTTCTGGATCTTTTATAATCATGCAATATGCCATTCTCACTAGTCCTTTAGTTTCTTGAATTTCCCAAAAATTAGGCATAATTTGATGCGTTTACTGGAATGCTGCTTGTTCTGTTTCACGTGTGATATGCTTTTGATATAGATTGTTACTACTTAAAACTTCTCTTATTACTTTGATTATTGAAGACTCTATGTTTTACAGGAAGAAGTGACTCATCGACTTAATATTGCAAAAGAGTCCATCGGAAAATCTTCTGGATTCAACACCCATGAGGTTCTTGCTAGAAAACTTCAGGTTAAGAACTTTGCTAAATATTTTCTGCCTTTGTTGTTGTATTAATTTTATTGCTTTATCTTCTAATTGGCAAACATGTACCTGTATTGTTAAGTAAATTTGTTTTCTTACGTTTTGTATTATATATTTCTATTTAGCTTTGGAACTGGTACAATGTTTGTTAGAGTACATTTTGATTCAATTTCTTATCCTGTATGAGATGTATATGATTAAGCAAGTTACGCCATTAAATTTTTTTTAAGTTTCTATTTCTTTTGTTTTTAAATGTAGAAACCTTGGTGCATAAAATATTGGCATTTATTTCTTGTTTGTTGGTGTATTATAGATTGATAATAAAATTATATTTTGAAAGCTCTTGATATTTGGGAAGTGGTATATGTTAATGTTGATGCTTCCTAGAACGGTATATTTGTTCCCTTATTATAAATAAGAGGGGTTCCTATTGAATAATACATAGAAAATTATTTCCTGCATAACGTGCTATAGGAGTAAGGATTGTCCTTGCCTTAGCCATAGCATACTCCCCTCCAACTTCCAACCTTGCCCTCAATCTTGCCAACCTAGTTGCTCATTCGCTCGCTTGTGCTTGCTCGCCTGATTGTTGCTTCTGTATTCATTGGTGACTTGCCCTTGCTTATCATGCTTGCATGCACTTGCTACACTTATAGCCCCCTCACTTACCTCTTATGTTTGCAGGCCTTTCACTTCTTTTATGGTTGTTATAATGACAAATTCCACTTGATGTCTGTCCTTTTTGATAGCACTAACATTGTCAAGTTCTAAAGAGGCAAGCTTCGACTATGCTATTTTTTATTGAACATTTCATTGATTCAATTATTGTCTTTTGGATTTTTCTGAAAAGATATAAGATTTGCTTCCTTCCATATATTTTCAAGAAAGTAATATCTTATGTCTACGATTCCTATTCAGAATTTTTTTTCAACAAAATGATATGTACATTCAAGAGTATTATAGCTTCGGGTTGATTTTTCGGACCCGAACCCAACCTGTTTAGGGTCTGGGTCAACCCGACATGACTCGAATGATCCAGGGCCGACAAAAAATTGCTAGTTTTCGGGTAAAAAATGGGTCAATCACGGATTTTTGGTTCAAAAGCAGGTCAATCTCCGGTTTCTAGGTAAAAAATAGGTTTCAGGGTCAACCTGAACCCGACCCGATTTTTGAAACGGGTCGATTTGTTGAACCTGAACCCGACCCATTTCGGATCTTGGTTGACACTAACCCGAAATTTTCATGTCGGGTTCTAGTCAGATTTTCGAGTTGTGTCAAATATTGACACCCCTATTGCTAACCTCCCACTCTTGATCAATTAGCCTTGGCTTATGGCTCTAGGGGTGGTTTTGTGATTATGGCTACGATGGCCATTCTAGTAGTGATCACGACCATTGCTACAATATCTTTCCAGCTTGTTCTTACTGTAGCCACACCAATCTTTCTCCTGACGTTGCTGGGAGATATTTGGTTATGCCTAATCCGTTTAGTCTATTTTTACAACGAGTGTAACATCGCTTACTCTTTTTTGGTTTTTTGTCCTCTTAATCTATTATTTTTTCTCTGGAGGCAATGATCGATTACTTTCACATCCTCAGTCATCTATGTCAATGTCTCGTATTTTCTCTTTCTTAGGATCCATTTTAGTTCTCTTATGGTATGTCTTGTGTTTTACATCTGGTTGTTTCCACTCATATGGCATGTAACCACCAACTTTTTCCATTTACGTTATTGACCATTCCCTTCAACCTGTTATTATTGTTGATGGGGTGCCCTTTCATATTTGGAAACAACATTATTCATTTTTTGAAAACTCTATTTCTCAAATGTTTTATATGCTCCACGATTTTATGTTACTTTATTATCTATCAATGCCTTATAGGACTTCAAAATTTTTTTGTAATCATTTATCTTTCTCATTAAATATATTAGGATTACAACTAGAATAATATGATTAGCGAGATGTTGAAGCTAGCAAAGTATACTACTTGATGGCAAATGTTCCTTCCGCCTTCAACTTCACTACCACTCCATTTCAATGCTATCATCGGTTGTATCATCCTCCTCCCAACATATTCAAAGATTTTGTATTTATTTCTTTTTCTCTATTCAAGTTTGAGTATCATGCCTCTGTTTGGGTGAATGCCACTATATATCTTAACCTAATTCTATCACTAGTTGTCAATTTCTTCTTTGTGGGCTAGTTCGATTGGGCATTTAAGGTTGTAGTCCTATCACTGCTTTCCTAGGATTTTATTATTTTGTTATACATTTATTAATGATTGTTCGTGAGTCATTTGAGTTTATTTGCTCATATGTCGATTAAAGGTCCTTCATGTGCTTTAGAATTTTGACTAAGAAATAAAAGTTCAGTTGTTCATCTCATCATTTAAAAAAGCGGTCAAGGCATAGGCCTCGACGCCTCGAGGAACGCCTTAGTTCGAGGAGCAATCCTGGCGTTGCAAGGCTTAAGCCTTGATGAATTTGGCGTGGCGTGCGATTTTTTCACTCGAGGAGTACGCGTCAAGGCGTAACGTCTAGAGGCAGTGTGAGGCGACGCCTCATTTTAGATATTTTTTTAATTACGCGCGACATGATGATTTTAGGGTTGATTCGGTTTCCCTGTTTCATGAGAGTAGAGTTTGGAAAGAGAGGTTCCCTTGCCTCCTTCAACAACAATAGTTCCGTCGGATTCGACGGTGCTTGCAGCTAAGGTAACATATTTCAACCTTTTCGAGCGTTGCTTCCGCTTCATCCGTTTCGAGTGTTGCTTCCGCTTCGTCCCTTTCGAGAATTGCTTCCGTTCATCCCTTTCGAGCGTTGCTTCATGTCAATTGGAGTTCTTCGATCTAATAGGAGTGCTCGCGGACAACCATTCTTTTCGTTCGACCACTAGTTTGGGTTCATTTGCTTCGTGTGAAGCCAGAGCTTGAACTGAATGTAATACTATTTGTTCGACCACTGTTTTGGCTTCGACTGCTGCAGTGAAGGTAACGAGCTCTCTCCCTATTGCTTCGATGTTTTTTCATGCATTGCAGTCGACTGAGGCTTACATTTTTTCATGCATAGCAGTTAACCAAAGTTTAAGTAATTCCTTGAAATTATAATATTAACAATATGTAATTGTAGTTATATTAGATAATATTTTTTACTTTGAAAATATAGAGCAATTAAAAAATAAACTATATAAGTTGTCAATATATATATATATATATATATATATAAGCTTAGGTCTACCTCAACCTTTCTTAACATAAGTTAAATCTAATACATCTACTTTCCTAACCGGGTCATTGGAAGGCCGCCATTTTATATGACCAAATCATCTCAGGCGGCTCTCTCTAATCTTATATTCCACTGGAGCTACTCCAATCTTTTCATGCATATGCTCATTTTGTATTCTGTCTTTAAGAGTAAAGCCATTCATCCACCTGAGCATCCTCATCTTTGCAACACTTAACTAAATATTATGCTTCTCTTTTAATGGACAACATTCTGCACCATAAGATATTGTAGATCTCACTACCATCTTATAGAATTTTCCCTTAAGTTTGAGAAGGGCTTTTCTATCACACAATAAGCCAGATGCATTCCTCTAGTTCAACCATCCAACTTGAATTCGACTCATAATATCCTCATCTATTTCCCCATTACTCTGAACAATAGACCCAAGATATCTAAAACAGGTGCTCTTATTAATGACTTGATCGCTCCAAAGTTACAATCCCCCCATTAGATCTATTATTACTAAAATTACACTTCATATATTCCATTTTAGATATACTCAAATTAATGCCTTTAGACTCTAAGGTTGAACTCCATAATTTAAGTTTACCTTCAACTCCCTCTAGTTTTATCAACAAAAAGCATACACCGGGGTACAACCTCTTGCAAATGTCTAGTGAGAACATCCATGACTAAAGCAAAAAAGATATGGGCTTAAGGCTGATCCTTGATGTAATCTAACTGAAATAGAAAAATACTTGGTCAAACCACCTTGTGTTTGAACACAATTGAATTCATATCCTTAATGACTTAAATATAAGCATTATTAACCCCTTTCTTATGTAGAACTCTCCATAGCACTTCTCTTGGAACTTTAGCACATGCTTTCTCTAAATCAATAAAAAATATATGTAGATCCTCCTTATTCTCTCTATATTTCTCTATCAAACCTCTCAATAAATGTATAGTTTCCATAGTAAATCTACCTGACATGAATCCAAATTGATTTTGAGAAACATTAGTGTCACGCCACAACCTATGCTCCATAGCTCTCTCCCATAGTATTAATTACTTGTATATTGTAATATTTTGAAAATAGTTTAAAAGATTCTTAAATCGATCTCACATTTTAATTAGATGTTATGATACAAAACTTTTCTATTCCTTCATGTCTCAAACATTTTTATCTTGTTTGCCGATCTAACCATTTTCTAGATGTTAGCATGCTAAAAAATTTCATTAAATAATTTGAAAGCTTGGATTTATTCTAAAGTTTTACATAATCATAATTGAAGTTTTGCATGTATAAATGCCTTCGCAAGTGTCTTAACCGTTAGTGGTGAGGTCGTGATTTTTTCCTTTTGAATGAAGATTTGATACTTGCTGAATGGAAAATTTAATGATTAACCCACAAATCCTTGCAACTTGTGACCTTCAAATTAGTAGGCAGGTTCCTCCACATGTTGTTCATTGTTTGCATTAACCCGCCAAATCCTTCAACTTGTGAACTTCAAATGGGAACCAAACATAAACCTCGGCTTCTTTGATTTTTCTTTTGTCATTCACCCTCCTCGAGCTTCTGTGTGCTTTACAAATAAAGAGGACAAATAGTAAGTGATTCTCATAAAAAATTATGAATGTTGATATATGTCGTCAATCTATGTTGGTTGGTGTTAGTGTATGCCATCAATCTATGTTGATATATGTCATCAACCAATGATAATTAATGCTTGTCATTACCATAACCTAATGCTAGTAGGTGA